TCCAAAAACCAGCTAGCCAATCAGCGCGCTGCGGCCGTCAATCGACAAGAGTGCCTACATATTCTTCTATTTTTGTCCCAAAAATATTCCATATTTGATTTCTGACAGTTTTCTCAACACACAAAAAGGTGTCTTCCAAAAGTTTATAATTTATTAAAGTTCCGAAAAATTCTATTGCTATTTTTTTAGTACCACTCTATCATTCATTGATTCTATCAAAAAGGTTACACTGCAATAATAATTGTTCTTTTTTTCTATTCCCCATTCAAACTTTAGAGCAGCTATAAGAATGTGTAATTTTTTTAAAAGAAATAAAAAAAAACTTTTATTCGATACCATATAATAAGACTGTAAATTCTTTTCAGTTATAAATCATCAATAAAAAATTGTCAATGGACTTGCTGGTTGAACCAAAAATACCAGTTATAAATTCAGTTAAAATATTACCAAGGAAAAAAACTTATTACTTTCAGCTTACAGATTCATTGGAAGTTGTTAAATCTTTAAAAAATGATACACTTTAACAGTTTCAACTTCCAAACTCAATTACACTTTTTTGTTCGCTCAAATTAACGATCAAAAAAAAAAAAAAAAATTTGCAGTTAAACTATATAACCATAGGTATAACTGAACATATCTAAAGTTTATTTAAATCAAAATTATGTAAAGTATTTGTGCTGCCGTTGATACTATAGTAAAAAAATTATCATAAAGTTTTTCAGCTATATTTTACATCAGCCAACAGTACTAGGTTTACTGTTTAATAACTAGCAAAAAAAAAAGAAAAAAAAAGTACATTTCTTCAGTTGTGCAATACTTCAAAACAAAGCTTCAAATAGTGATATCAAAAATAAAATGATGATGATGATGATGATGATGATGATGATGATAATGATGACGATGATGATGATGATGATGATGATTCAGAACTGTACAATTGATTACTGCATTGATCACTGTAAAACATTTACAGAAAAAAAAACCTGCTTTTAACAGAAAAAATTTTTTATAAAAAAATCTTCTCCTTTTTTTTTTCACACACAAATTTAATGGCAAATACTGGGCCAACATACAGCACAACAATCATATATCAAATAACCACATTGCTGGTTAACAGCCAAAATTCCGACTTTAGTTCTGTTGGTTATCAAAATTTTTCAACTACGATTAGTCACCAGTATAATTTCCAAAACCTATAGCTGCATTGCAGTATAAAAGAATATAAACTAAAATGGTAAACAAATAATTGCTGTAAAAATAGATTATCAAGAAACTGACTCTGTTATTTCAATTTAAAAAACATTGAAAAGAAAGACTTTTTAACAAATAAAGACTTAAACAACAAAAATGAAAAGACCAAAAAAAAAAAAAAATTCTATTAACTTTCAATTACTAAAACTATAAACCTGAAACAAAAAAAAAAGTCCATACTAGTTTCTGTCTGTCAAAACTACAAACTGAATTCTAACTAAATGCAACGATTCTTTTAAAAAATTTAACATCTGCATTTCCTTGCACAACAACATTTTTTGCCTGGCAATAACGGTTAAATGTAGCCTTAGCGTTGATCATAAAAGTGTAATTTTTGATGCCAAAAAAAAAAAGTTTCCCAAAAATCACTGATCGTACAGCTATAAACTATACAGTTTATACAATTTTACAAGCAAGTGACAAAATTCCTTTTAAATGCAACCAATGACATTACCTTTCAGTTTCCAACTATCGCATCCAAGCCGACTACAGCTGAACTTTTCGTACTTCTAACAATTCTAAAGCCAACCAATGATCATTCTTACCTCAAAGAAACTTAAAAAATTTTAGCTTCCAAAAGACGAACACTAAGTTCTAAAATAAGCAACTAAAAAGTAATGAAACTTACCGCTGTTCATGTTCACAGGTCATAATTAACAACTAAAACAGAAAGATCAACTAGAATGTACTCTTCAGTGACCCAATTACTCGACTTTTTTGTTCACAAAAATCAAGAGTTTACGGCATTGCTGAATAGAACAAGCATCTTAAAACAACCGTACTATCAAAACCACGAAACATAGACATGTTAAAATATTCTAGTGAACAGGCTGGGAAGAGCAAGTTTTCTGCTTCATGATTTTCAGTCGTATTTCTTATATTATCAACAAAAAATACGTCCTTTCCTTTGATCCTGCCGTAGAATTAGTTGTAGTCAAGAAAAAAAAAGAAAGCAGTCTAGAAAATATTAACGGCATGCACTAAAAAATGTCATAAAAGCCATGAAAAATTTAGTTACAGGTTTTAAAAAAAAAGCCTTACTTGACAGGACAGACGCATGTAGAAAGAAGATATTGCAATTCCTTCCAGAAAGCTTACTTCCTTCGCCTTGAAAGAAAGAAGAGAAAGAAATTTTTAAAACAATTACGCAAAATATTCTATGAAAATAGTTATTGCTTTTAAAGATTAGTGACTCTAGTAAGCTACTTTCTTATTGAGGTAGCCGCAGCAAGCAAGAAAAGTTGAAGTTATCCGTGATAGAGTATGCAGTAGCAATTTACTTTCCGCTATAGCATTTTCTGTCCACCTAATTAAGGAAATACAGCATCACTTAGAAACTCACTGAAAAACAGCAAACCCCAACGGCAAAAATACGAACTTCTTTCAAATGTGAAATTGGAGGAAGATATGCCGAATATATACAATGGAGGAAGATAAGAAACGGCGCAAGGACACAGTCGGTCTCCACGTCTTATTTCAAAACTTTTACTCTTGTATTCGACTACTTTGTTTCCTTGTTTTAATAACTTCAGTTTCAGATACAAATTCAAACACGATCTTCAATAAAGCAATCTTTTCTGTTATTGCTCCTAAAAATCATTCCTTACAAAGCAAACGTTTAGTAATATGCAGTCCTATCATGGTCAGACGTTACGTTGGCCACTTCCAAAAGCCTATTACAAACACTGGTCAGTTAACTTAGCAAATAAGCTTTTAAAAAAAATTAAGATTAGAATCTTGAAGTAGCAAACCTTAAGTGAAGTACTCTAAGTACTCTCCAAGTATGCTTCTACTATCACGAGATGGTGATTTTGATGAAATTGGCAAGGGGCTTCTGAAAAAACGTATTAATTATTGCTAATAAGTTTTGTACGTCCGACTTCACGCTTGCTGAAATTTCTTGCAAATGCTTTCCCTGAACTTTTAAGCAGTCAAATCTTTTATGCTTACAAACTTCGCAGCTCGCAGCACTACCATTTCCAGTCTCCTCCTTGTCAGTTCAAAAATATATACGTACAGGTGTACTGCACGCCCGTGCACAACTTGCCTATACATTGCATATCACGCTGAAAGCGCTGTTATACTTCAACTGATGTAAGCTTAATTTCATTATCCGCATATGAAGAAAAAGTAGGCTGTTAAAATGCATTAAGTGCCGACACGGTATCAAAAAAAGAACAAAAAAGAAACCAATCACGCTCTTCACCCTTTGTTAGAATCTTTCCTCCACATGTCTAATAATGAATGCTTAACACGTAAAAAAAAAAAGCAAAGTAACCCGAGAAAAAGATGACCAACGTAAAGTGCGCTGGGAGAACTGTAAAATGATTGAATTTTTGATCTTCCACAAAAAAATTTTTTTATTGACCCGGAGGTACTAAATTTAGTGACTTCACGCACAGTCAAAAAAATATTTGCAGTAAAGACTTAGAAGGCATATAACTTATCAAAATCTGTTGATGGAGATTTTTTTTGCCGAAGAAAAGAAATTTAAAATATAACCCTTTCATAAAAGGTTTATTAACAAAGTGTTTTGCCTTACATTATAGTCCCTCTTAGTTCTAGTAAACCTGAGCATAACCCACGAAAAGGGCTTTCGACGGCAAATGCAGGCTGTAAACTGTTTTCCAATTTTCAAAACACAGTAAAAATGCAAAGACAGGGGATCCATTAAAACTTGCAAGAGACAAGAACATTCAAAAAGCCTTTGCTAAATAAATCCACTTCCACTGCACACACAAAAATTCCGTCTAAGGCCCGTTTCCCTTTTTTCACACTGCGGATACGGATTAGAACTTTCAATATGAAGCCCACTCCGCCCAAACTCCTCCGTTTTCTAAAATTTTGGAAAACCTGTTTAAATCAATTTTTCTAAGCAGGCTCTCTAGAGTTTTTACACTAATGTACGAACTGATAGAATAAAGTATCCCAAGAAGTTATTTTGAAAAGCTTCCTGATCACCAACAAAGGTGAAAAAGAGTAAGAGAAAGAAGGACTGGACTTGGAAACAGACCTAACAAAACGTTAGAATACTGCGACCCTAGATTATACAGTAAGGACTCAAAGACCTGCATAACAGAAGCTTAAAATAAAAAAACGAACGAGCAATCGATAAACCAACCTTGGTCACGGTTCTAGCTGGTTAAAAATTAAAGGTCACTTGAATGAAATTTAGTCGTAAACAATAACTCGTAACAAAAGGAGACACCAAATATCTGTAACACTCTCTAATAAAAACTCGGTGGAGGACACTGCAAGAGAAGAAGAATCATCAGCATTACAACAATACTAGACATAAAAAAGATCTATTCAAGAAAAAATAAGAGGTTTTAATGAAATCTCGAAAACAGTAAAGGTGTACACAACTAAATGATTGACAATAGTGATATCACAGACACTAAAAATCATTAAAGGCTAAATAAAGAGATCGTACTGTAAAGCGCAAAAACTTATAATTAAAATTACAGTAACAACAACAAATATACTTCTCTTCTAGATTAAACTCTGCATGATGAACCTCAAAAATGCTGACTCGTTAAACTTCAAAGTCCAAAACTGAGCCATTTTTCAATGAGGAATCGGAAGAATCAGAAAAAGGATCTATGTTTAAGGCATCTACTGCAGATTCAAAAGAATGCTAGCTGAGAAGCGAGTTAAAAACAAAACTCTACTGATTTTGAAGATATATCAAAACAAAGTGTTCAAAGAACGAGTTCATGTAAGGAAATTAGCTAGATGTTCAAATAAAAATTATGTCCCCTCTCAGAACTCGTTGGTTCCTGTGTTGGCACAGCAATAAAACCATTCCTGGATGTCTGTGCCGCAAGATCTGGTTCTTCAGCACCGTCCCGCCATTCACTGAATCGGTTCATGACGATCCTATCATGTTCCAAGATTGACGCTAAGCGTTTATCAAGCTGCAAATATTTCATTTAGCTTTACCCTAAAAACCTCTTCCAGAATCTGGATTATGAAAAGAAAAAACAAAAAAATAAGTATTCCGCGTACTGGAGGCGACGCCTTCTGAAGTTCTTCTCTCATCACCATTTTGCACTCAGAAAACAGTGGCCTTTCCATTGGTTCCGATAACCAACACTGCCTCATCAATTCGTAACTAAAATATCCTCACAAATTTCAAATCCACAGTACGTTCAAATGAGGATTACTGAACAATGTTCACATAAACGAAATCTTCAAAGTTTAAAATACATTATATCTGCAGCAAACTTTGGTTGGTCCATACGTCTACCACTTTCCAGATACTTTACCAGCTCAGTGTTCTGCACCTCTGGATATGGAACCCTACCAAGCGAAAAGATTTCCCATAAGAGAACTCCGTAGGCCCAAACATCTGACTACAATAACTCATTTCAACTTAAAATGACTTAATTTTAATTTTACATCTGAAACTTTTACAAAAAACAGTACTTGTTCAGTAAAATCGTGATTCAAAATAGACTCCAAAGCCATCCATTTCAGCGGTAGTGGAACATTCTGGCTATTTTTAACATGATATATGCGCTCATCTTTCCTTGCGAGGCCGAAATCAGCAATCCTAATAGCCCGGTTTCGTGTCACTAGTATATTCCTCGCAGCTAAGTCACGATGAATACACTGTAACAAAGATATGATTTCTAAGAGACGAAAAAATTTTCCTAAAAAAAAGCACCTCACCAGTCTTGAAATCTCAAAACTAAAACAAAACTTACAGTTCTGCTCGCAAGATATTCCATCCCGTTAGCTATTTGAAATCCAAACGATATAAGATCACTAGTTGTTACCATTTTATCAGCCACGCGTTCTTTATCAACTTGTTCCGCCCACTGTTCGTCCACCTCGGCCTTCAAATCAGAGCATCCAGAGTGTCAAAGACGAAAAAAACATACTCCGTTTAGACGTTCATTAAATTACCACAGCATTACCTTATATTTGCACATTGGAATCGGTGTATCAGTAAGGCGCGAATGTACCGGCAACAGGTATGCCGACTCTGCATCTCCAGAAGGCGATGAAAAACCACCGACGTTTACAGAATCGGTGATCTCTTCTATTTCGTTTAAAAAGCCTGCGCTATGTTTTGACAAGAAATTTTTCAGGCTGTCGTTCGCACAGTACTCCATAACGACAAATAAATGACCGCTGAAGAGTTGAAAGTTAAGGAATTTTATACAGTGGTCAAAAACAAATGATCTTAAACAAACTAAAATATAAAAGTCGCAATAGAAGCCCAAATTATTCCCTCACAAGAAATGAAGATAAGAGAACAAAAAACCTTGTCATTTTTTTGGTGACAGCTCCTATAAGTCCGAGTACGTTTGGATGTACCCCAACAGCAATCATTACTTTTAATTCGTCTGCCAGGGCCTTCTGATGAGTCACATTCCTTCCATCACGCGGGCTTTTGATAGCGACGTCCATAGTATCACTTGCAGCTACTGCATCGCTAACTCGCGATCTACACAGTGTTCCGAGATGAACTTGGCCAAACTGACCTCCACCGAGAAGCTGTAATGAATATTAGAAAAACAAACCTCACTTCTGAAAAAATTCAACACTACAAAAAAAATACAAAAGGTGAACTGAAATTAAAACCAGAGATGGAGCTCTTATAAATTCTATAAATTTAAGAAACTAACCTGTTTAAAAGACAAGTTTTCCTTTTTGATTTCATACTTTTTGTCGTAAGATATCCGCTCTATATGCTCAAGGAGTGGATGTTTTTCGTCGATTATACAAGGACTACTCAAAGCTTCTCCCATCAATTGGTTGTGTAAAGCTTGAAGTTGCTGAGTAATCAGTATATTTTTCTTCCGCTGCCTTAAAATATAAATCCCGGCTGCTCCAAGCATCAGCAGTGAAACAGTTATAACGGTCAAAATAATCCACCAATGAGCTGAAGATCTCTCTGGTACGTTGGTTACCTGAAGCCAAGCTAATATATGACTGTGTCGCTATGAAGGTATAACCAAATCTGCCACACATACCTCAAGACGTGTAGTTGTCTGCACATGACCTTGTCGATTTATAGCCATGCAAGAATATAATCCCTGATCACTTCCGATAACACGAGGAAACGACAACTTTCTCGTACGACTCCCTGCAGTATTTATTTCAACACCTCCTTTCAACCATGTGTACATCGGCTCAGGCTGACCCTCAATCGGGCAGATCAATTCAGCTCCTTTTCCATATTCAACTGTGACTGCTGACTTTTGCAAATGCTCATTTATAAATGGTGCCGTAACTTTTTTAACCTGAAGCTTCAAATGTGCCATCTTGAGACGTAACACAGCACTTTTGTAAAAATTAAGATTACAGAAATGTAACTTCATATTTTTATATCTTAAACAAATATTAAAATACCTGAATATGCGTTTCCGAAAAATGTTCTTCACTTCTTTCATCTACAGCAAGACACTTATAGGTGCCAGTAAAGTCAAGAGCTGCATTCTTTCGTTTAAGAATGAAGTTCTCCGATAAACTGGTTCTTTCTTCAGCTACTGGCAATTCAAGCTGACTGCCATTATGGTACCATGAAACGGTGCTGTAATTTAATTTCAAAAATTGAATGATATCCTACTTCCTCTTTGTTGAAAGTCAATACTAATTAAAAACTCCCATTTGACCAAGTCCATTTCAAGAGATGCTTAGTGAGGAAATTACACAATAAGGAGAATATAAATTTAAATCTGAAGTTTTGCTAACAGACGTCGCTTCTACTGCGTTCAATCGAGGAAAAGCAAAAATAATAGCAAAAGAGATAAGTCATCAACCAGTGCTATAGTCGTAAGCTAACTAACTAATTATGGCCTAGTGGTAGTCGACAAGTGAAACTCAAATCATCCCGTTCATAAACAAGATCATTTTCTTCGATAAAGTCAGACGATGGTTTAGTTGGACGAAAATTGATCTCTATGCCATTTACATCTGTCACAAAAACTCGTACAATATCGACCTAAAAAAAACAAATAAAAAACTTCAGTTAATGCCTCTAATAAAGCGCACAAAATTAGATCGAAGAAACTACCAAACTATAAAAACTTCTATTACCTTCACATTATTTGGAATTTCGCATTTTATATCCACACTTAAACTTGCGTGAAAAATTGACTTTACTGCAGAATCGACAGTAAGTCCTGTAAGTTCTTCAATTTCATTGATAGAGCTCCATTCTTCTCCATTATGGCTAAATGAATAAGCTTTCAGGCATACTCAAGTCTTTCAGTGAGAAAATTAATTTGGAGCAAACAAAGAAATTCGAACGGATAAGTTCTATGCCCAAAAAAATCTTTGTTGCTCAAAACTATAATGAATATAAAAATAGGTAGAGAGAGCGATTTTTTAAGTTTAGAGGTGTCAGTGGTATTTACCTCTTGTAAAAAAGCTTAAGTTCATGTTTCTCAACATCCCTTGTATAACAAAGAACAAGAAATTTCTGCTCCTGCATTACAATAAATGGTTTCGACCTCAAATTGTCGATTAGAATAACAGGCTCTATAACTTCTGACTGCCGGTTGACAAACACAGTCCAATTACGGGCAAAACTGCGCCCATTGCTGAATTTCACGCTTAACTGGTATCTGAAAAAAAAAGAATAAAATTTATGGCCGTCGCTTACTAACATTTTCGTCACTATCCCCGTGAGGGTAAAATAGATTAATTTTAAACAAAAAAACGTAAAATAACCTATTCCTAGAAATTAGCAACACTGAAACTGTCACCTGAGTAGATAAGAGTTTTGAAAAGGTAAGAATCACGAATGAAGGAGATATAACGTACATTCCGGAATCATCCAGTTTTGCATGTTCACTGACTTTAGAAACAACTACATACATGTTTTCGCGGTCAGCGTGTGCAACCTTCTCACTAGGTAGTTTACTAGAGAAACCCTCAGGACGTGTCGCATTCGACGAAAACTGAAAAGGTTTCATATAAGTTTACCTGCAAAAGTGCTAAGAATCAAAAAAACAATATGCAGTAAAAAACGTAAATTATTTTTTATACGTACTTTAACCCATTCAACGTCAATTTCATAATCAGCAGGGAAAACTTCAATTGTCCCTTTGACAATCATAACTTCGCCTTCATTAAATTCCATATGACTATCTTCAAACTTCACTTGTTCTTTGGATGGAGAAATTTTAATTTCGATAACCTCTGATTTGTTAAGACTCGGGTTATCTGTATCGTTAAGGATACATTCATAGATCCCACTATCAAAAGCATTTAGATTACCAATTATTAGAGACCGTACTGTCTTAGCTTGCTTTGTACGATTGTAGCGACCACTGACCTTAATAAACAAACCTCAAGCAACAAATGGAGCAACAACAAAAGAACTGTGATTACCTTACCTAGTACTTTAACATAAAAAATTGCCAATAAATGGTACAGACCTCATTGGGACTCGTCTGACATCGAGGACAACGCCAAATCAGTTGCAAGTTTAGCCCAGCATTTGAGTAATGGCAATCTAGCTGAAGACTGCCACCAACATATGGCCATTCAGTGTTCTTTGTAATAGTCAGGTTCCCTCCTTCGTATTTCGTATCCGCCATAGGAATCAATAAAAACTCGACTTTGTCCTCACCATAAAAACCATAAGAACATGCTGCACTTACTGTTGTGCCTGGGACAAAATTATACTTGATCGAAAAACCGTACCTAAAAAAACTCTAGATACTTATTTAAAAGAATTGTCTACGTTTCAAAGTGTTTCCAAAGTAAAGCTGGAATTTGAGAAAGCGGTAGACATCCTAAATTTATAAGAGGATTGGAAAAAACAACAAAACTCTCAGTGTTGGCAGAACAAGCAAAAAAGAATGATTCTAGAATTAAAAAGTGATATAGCGAAATAAAATTTAAACAGATATAAAAGTTTTGAAGTAAAGGCAGTAGAAAACTGCATTAACAAACCTGTCACTTCTCAAAACCCCTTAGAATAAATTTCTAGTCCTGTTTTTAGAAAAATGTTAATACTGCAAAAAATACAAGTGTTTATCCATTCAATAAAACTTAACATTTAATGTTTTGATAGAATTAATAAATCACGAGATACGAAAAAAGCACCTCAAATGGTAAGTTGCAACATTTGCGTATTATTGAGGAGAAGAACAAAAATACAGAGATATGGCTGCTAGTACCACCAAAAACTAAATTTTTTAGGTTGTATGGTAAAATTGGCAGGAATTATGAACATAAAAAGAGCAAAATTTTTCTGCGAAAAAAAGGATATGATGAGTGAAAAAAAAAAAAAGAAAACTTACAAGATAAATTCAAGAGGATTAAAACCACTACAAAGTTTAACCATTTTTTGAAGCTTAGTGTCCATATTCCAATAAAATAAATGAACGAAAGTTGATAAAGAGGTACCTTGGATCGTAAGTTGCAGAATAAGTCTCGTCTCTACCATCTATAAACAACTTCACAACTCCTTCAATTTTTGCTTTTGCTCTACAACCAACCACATATTTTGACTGATTGTCTTTGTAAGCGGGGAGAAACTTTTTGATAAGAAATATTGAAGCTTCTGAAATAAATTATATATACAAATATATATACGATATATGATATATGATACCTCAGCTTGAAAAGATCAAATTTCAACTGTCTCTTTAACAGCGAACCTTTACGGTTAAAAGTATCAGCACATAATTTGTCATCTCTAACAAAAGCAAGCCAGTTCTCAATTAAGCTGGGAAGTGAGCAGATGCTCAAATTCAAAAAAGTTTTGAAAGTAAAATTGAAACCACTTATCATACACATAAGTTAAATCTAATTTCTCAACACAAATCAAAAATGAGTTAGGAAGCCTAAGGCACGATCCTACAAAGCACTACAATTCATTTAGACAAATCCGTGAAAAAATACCTTCATCGTCCTTTTCACGTACAAAGACATAAACTTGATCAAACTCATTTGATCTAATTTTCTGGCATTTGTATTCTCCATTATCAGAAATTTGAAGATTTTTAAGGGACAAAATATCACCGTTGCCATTTTCCTAAAACTTTTGCAGTCTCAAAAGGACAGGTAAGAACGGAATAAATCAGTATGCAGAATTTCTCAAAGAGATGTATTGACCTATAAGGCGACAAGAGCATTGGAAAATTTTAGTTGGCTAAAAATATTGATAAATCTACTCAGTTTTCCTTGAATTATTGATGTTCAGAATGTCTCCAGACAATGAAAAACCAATCAAAAAAATGTCAATCCCTATTGAATTGCAAACATTGTTGCTAAAGATTTCTAATAGTTACTGCAGAGATCAGTTATCAACGAAATAAGTTAAGTTTGGTCTATCGTTAAGAAAAATTAGAAAGAAAAAATCGTTTTTTAGTAAACGATGACAGTTCTCATTGAAAGAGTATCCTTAAAGGGGGCTAATAAAATTAAAATTCAATCTTTAAAAGAAAAATGCCTTACGTCCAATCTAATAAAAACAAAAATGAGAGTGGTTCCTATGTTTCATAATGTCCCGAAACAATCAAAAACAACTACGAAAGCAACCCCTACTACTCAAATTTCACGCGTTTTTGATCTCACGGAATGCCATCAACTTCTACAGCTGTGTACTTCTGTCCGTTAGTCTCCCACTAGCAGCAAAAACGAACCAAGAAAAAAAAAGTAGGAAGGAGAAGCCAAGCAGTTCTGGCAGCTTAAAAAAACCTGAGAACATCAGAACGCGATAACCACGAAAAATATTACAAGAAAGAATGTATCAAAAAATAAAATAACTTCAAATCCCACGGTACTGTTAGACTTGGTTTTCATTTAGATTCCTCCAAAATGTTAGAGAAACACATCCCATATTTCACCCTAACTTTCAGATGCGAAAGAGCTTTCATAAAAGGTGTAGCTGTCGCGAATTTCAGACATACTTCCCACTTTACACTTAAAAAATAGTAATAACACTCTGAATTTTTCCCTTCAAAAATACTGAAGTTCTCACAAAAAAAGAAATTTTTGATCTCATATTTTTAAATTTACAGTCACTTACTCTGTCCATAGAGTTTATATTCCTAAGAAAAGCAATAAATTATAAAATTGTCCACGGTCGTTGAAATCAACGACTCTCAAACACTGACAATAAAAAAAACGCCTATGGCTGTCAAGTATTCCGTAACTTTCAAACATTATATTATCCCCTATGAAAAATATTGGAAGTATAATTCTCAATAAAAAGTTAAGTTCTCTCTCTGTCAGGGCTGTTCGACTCATCAGCTCCAATGCAACTATAAAAGTTGAACCTCCTTTTTGGCATTCAATAGGTTGTAATATTTTTTTCTGGTAGTTCTGTCAAGCTGATTCTTGCACGGCAATTATAATTCAACTCAAAAATAAGTTTCTACGAATAAAGAGTCCATCTGAAAAGCTTCAAATTCCACTGAATCAAAAGAACTCCTTTTGGAGCGCAAAGTCCTAACGCCACTATCACATTCTCAATTTCCTCCAAATATTTTTCTTATTTTACTCTGAAACGACAGGAATGAGCAGTAGTCCAAAAAGGCAGTATTGAGCCTGCAGTTTTAACCGGTAAAACTCTTTCCATCTGAACCGTCAATGTTTTTTGGAGCACTGAAGTTACATAGTACCTATTATTATCATGTTGCAAAATCTCTCTTTCCCTTACACGCAAACAGCTGGTCTCAACAAGTTGCCATGGCAAGGCAGACACTTCTAAAATGACCAGCTGACAGTATTCGAAAGTCTCGTAACGAAGTACTTTTTTAGTGTCACCGAATAAATTGAAAGTCTTTCTTTTTCTATGTATCTAATTTTGGGGTAATTTCTGCGGCGCTTTCCAAACTTCTACTAGACCTTTGCTTTTTTGCAAAGATAAAAATAAAGCCACTTGCCACTCTTCACCACAACACATTCAAAACTTGGACTTCGCAAAAAACAACTAACAAATTTCTAATTTCTATGACTTGCCCAACTTCTGCAGTAAATAAGCAAACACCTTTTTGACTTAAAACTTTTTTCCGTCTCTTTTAATCAATACGCCAATAAATACCAAGTTTCGTAAACTTTTTTCGTTTTGAACTATAGAAAATCTCCATCATAATACTGCAGACACCTTTTTTACTCCCAGATGCACCTTCTCCTTAATCGAATTTACAACCCATTAAATAATTTCAATATAACTTTTGACTAGCTGTACTTGAAAGTAATATTTCTCACAACAGTTTTGCGACTTTATGTAATAAAAAGCTCTCAAATCGCTTATTTCTCTTTAAAACAGAATAACGCGTCGGTCGGAATCAAAGACGATACTAGTAGTTGTTATTGAAAAATCAGCTTTGGCTCCCACCAAAATTGAATTGTGGGTAGGAAAAAGTGTACATACCACTTTCCTAAATTTTTCTTTGTAAAATCCGGCAATCAAAAAATTTATGCTCTCTAGATCAAGAATTATGCGCGCTTACAAAGAGCATGTGGAGTTTCAAAACTAGCAAAGCCCGGTCCTTTACAACCTAACAATATAACTGAATTTCACCCTCTGGCTTGAGTGTAGCCAATGACCTGAGGACAAAGCGTTCTATACAACGTTGCTCAAAATCGAGTTTGCCAAAGAGTTATTCATGAAAGAAGAGAATAAACAGCTTTCAAAGTTTAAAAATATTATTACGTAATGACAATTTTTTGATATACACGGTAGAAAATGCTCTACCCGGCTTCTCCGTAACTACCCACCAGAACCTTTCAAGAACTGTTTCACCGCTGTTCACTGCTCGATGCAACTAGTACCTCCGTGACTTTCGCTCTAAAAACCGAGTGCTATTAAATCACCCTGTAAAGCATGGTCCAAAATGAGTTTTGAAACCCTTCCCCCCCCC